TCCAGTCCCTGCTAGGCTACAACTCACTGAATTAACCCTCTGCTGAATTTCAGAAGGCAAACAGAGAAAAGACATCCCAAACTTAAATCTTCTTGTGCAAATGCAAAACTAGTTAATTATAGTTACTATTATTTATAAGCAATTATTTATTAAGGCAGTTTGTGCAGCCAAGGCTGGGCAACAAGACAGAGCCCGAATGCACCGTACGAGTGGGTCACAGTGGTCACTGGTGACTGGTCACGTCACCAGTGCGTGCGAGGTGTTAGGCAACRCAGTCCTGCTCCTGGGAGCCCACTGGCTTTTAATCCCCCGGCTACAAGTGCAATTTTACAGAGCCATAACTGGGTATCCAGAGGAGGTTCTCGGTCCTCAAGAAGTGGGAATGATACCGGTGGGGCAATGAAAACTGATGTCTTCTCCAGCCTGCTGAACGCAAAGGTGATAACTGCTCTGTGTCGTGGTAGAGGCTGCAGCTCCTTGAAGTGCCATTCCTGCAGTTGGTTCTGCAGCTGTAACCAGTGTCCTTGGGAACTTATTTCCTCTTTTCAGAAGATCTCTCACTCCCTCACCCTGCAAAGGCTGTAAAAATGCAGCCCCCTGTTTAAGAAGAGACCTGAGGAATTCATGTTAGCTACCAAAGATAGCAAGTGCCCAGCTATTGCTGGCATTCTGCTTCATACGTATCAATATATATTAGGAATATAACTAAACTGGGATTCTCAGGCAGCAATTGCAAAAAATCTTTATGAACTAAAAATACATAAAAGAAACCATCAACTACCTTCCAGCAGATGCAATGCTGACTGAGACCAACTCAAAAGAGGAGAAGCCTTGGTCATGTTTTACTCCTCTCTCTTACGCTTCCTTCCTTTGCTTGTTTTGCTAAGACTAACAAACAAGAAGGAGTAGATTAAAAAGAGGCCTCCTGAAACTGCCTCTGCAGCTGTGCTCCCTTTGCCACTGCACCTCTCAGCTCCATCTCTTCAGACAGACCCATTTCCATTGCAGGCTGCAGGAAGATGTGAGGGGGCACTGCAGTCTAGGGCCAGTTCCCAAGAGAAGGGTGTCCTGGCTTGCTTCAGTAGGGCACAAGCACTCCAGGCCCAGTCAGTTGTCTTAAAATCATGCCATATGCTGTTAAGTAATTCTCTCTTAAAAAAAAATCTTTTTTTTTGACAGTCTCTAGCACAAAACAGACATAAATATTTTCAAAACTTTCCTTAACTTTTTTTTTCCAACTAAACTCCTGGGCCTGATGTTTTTCTTTATTTCATTCAAACATGACTCTGTACAGTTCCTATAGCTGTACTCCATGCAGGGTACAAATCAAAGCCRTATTCTTGATTTTCATTTTGCATAATCCCAACTCAAATTTCCATTCTCAATTTYTAAAATGTGATTAAAGTGTAAATTATAAAAGATAACTCTGCTGCTGAGAGCAGAAAATATTAAAATAAGTTTGCAAAACTAAAGGAGAAACATCCATCACTGGCAAGAAGCAGCCTAGGATATGAATGAATTCCATGCCATTAAGAGAAACAAATAAATGCAAGAGAATTAATCAGCAGATGTAAAAGAGACAGTGCAATGCTAATACAAAAAGAGCAAAGATGTATGGAAGGGCACAAAGCTATAACCATGTGCATCAAATCTCCAGCTGGAAGAAATGCTACAAGATATTTGAAGAGGATTTCTAGCTGGACGTGAATTCAAGGCAAATGAATCCAATCTGTGCCTCTCTCCCTTACTCTTTCACACATGTGCGAGTACACACACACACACACACACACACACACACACACACACACACACACAATYTATTTTCATGAAATTAGTTCCCCATCCCAGATTTCTGACCCGCGTCCCTCCTTTGCCATGTTAGGGCTGCCTGTTAAAGCGAGCCTGGAGGGCCAAGGTGTGGTAGCATGAAAGCAGGACAGAGAAGAGATGAGTGGTTTTCGGTACATACATTCCTGACATGTCTCACAAGCCTGACAGGCTACACTGAGGACTCAGGAGAGAACGATGAAGAAAGAGCTAGGCACTGCAAATAAAATTAGGAAATATTTTGAAGACAGACTTGCAAGCCAGGACATGCAATAGTCAAGACGAGTTTTAAGTCYCCACAACACAAGTTTAAAGGTTTGAATTACTCAAGAATATCCTGTGTTTAGCCAACTCTGCTAATCTGGCACATCTCCTCTTTTGTCTGGCCAAGTTTCTTCCCTTCTCTTCCCTTCCCTTCCTTTTGCAATGCACAGCTAAATGCAATGTTACAGACAATGATATAAGCAGAAGGACAATGAGAAGACCATTGGCAGGACTTGCAGAGGCAGCCAACCAAGCCACCCTCAGCATCAGTTTGAATTTTATCTTGCAGTTCTTCCTGCTCTTGGCCAGCAATAAATGGCCATTTAACTTTCTGACCATGCTCAGCTGGGCTCTGCGCCATTTGAGGCTGTTTTTGATGGCAGAGTTCTCAAAGATATATATTAAAATATTTGTCCCATAAAATAACTCACTAAGGCTGCACTCTTGTTTCCAAGGAGGCCCTGAAACAAGAAGGGAAGTAAGCTCTTTTTAGAAAGGCAGCAGTCTTCTACATTGATAATATTAAACCTTCCCATGGAATTTCAATAGCATTAGCAAATTATTTTGATAAAATACCAGCGAGCTTTGCAGATTTTTTTTAGGGTTTCAATAGGGAAAATGCGTAAGCTCTACACCCACTGCTTTGACGCYGCAAGCTCCCTCGCAGTCTGTCCTGTGACCATTCCTAAACACGCTAATGGTACGGAGCTAATCTCGTAATGGTAATACGTCCACAAACAAATTACTGCAGTAATGCAGTTAGCCCAATTAACTTTTGGATCTCTTCGCTATGCAGAACTAAAGGTTATTTTCTATTAAAACATCTCCTTCCCACTTCCTTATCACCCTTTGCAACTCATGGGAGTTAATATTAGAAATCCTGTCTACGCTATGTCAGGAAGAAGACAGGATGATGAAGCCAGGAAAAGACCTTACTCTTTGCTAACATAACACAGGCATTGCCCAAAGAGAACATCTGCCTTCTCTCATGAACACGTCTAATTATGGCAAATTGTTAACACCTTGAAGAGCAGTTTCATACAAGGGTAAATTTTAACATATGCCATTCTCACACATAAAACACGCTGTACTTCATACTTTTCCAAGCGTGTGCCCTTTTTCCTTCAGCAGTTTATCAGAGACCTTATTTTGAAAAGGGCTTCAACCTGTTTTCCATTCCTGGGGGTGCATTTTAGCGCCTGCAGCTATTTCCTCTCTGAATGATTCCATAGAAACATTGGACTATGGGAGCTGGGACCCCAGGCAGCAGATGAGCCAGCAAGATCTGTGAAGCTGCAAACACAGTTAGTTCCTTCTCACAACTGTGAGTTGCTAAAATTTAGGTCTTCGGCAAAATCCTCCCATTCGTTTACCCGGGCCCTGCAAGCTGCCTGTCCTCTCTGCAGCTCCCACTTCCCTGCCCCTCGAGATCCCGCTCTGGAGTCACGGTGAAGAGCTTGACACTAACATTGCCATGGCAACGGACCGGTGCCAAGCACACACACACACAGAGCGATGACTGACATGCCCGTGGTATCCGACAAAAGGCAAAGTGAGAGGAAAAGGGAGAAAACCAGGAATCACACTTAGTACTGAGGGGGCAAACGGAGCCTCTCCACTCACCTGGCTCCGGTCATGGACCCCATGGGTGCTGCATCCTCAGGGGCTGCCAGGGAGTAGTCTGAAGAAGGAACAACCTTGTAAATGTCTCAGGTGCGGCTCAAAATAACATTAGACGTTTAACTGAGTGTTTTTTACCCCTGAGGATAACCTTGAGGTGTTTGGCTGGACTATAAATCCTTTATTTTCTTCATTTGGCCCATGTTTGTAAGTGCTCACAGAAAGACACACGCGAACCATTAGGAACGGGGTAAAATAACATCTGTTGAATATTTTTCAAAGCAATGTCTGCAACAGCTCTCATAAGGTTTGATGTGCAATAYGAAGACAAGGATGGAAACAGCCTTTTATTCTAAATATCATATGTACACGGAAAGCCATTTTACACAGTCTTGGAAATTCTGCGTAAAAGAGCTATAGTCGTCAAATGTCACTGTGCTTACATTAGTAACAATTTTTAAACATGGAGTACATTATTAACAACAAAAACTGTTAACAAACAGGCATAAAAGACACAGGTACGTGTGCTGATATTTCACATATATTCTAGAAACAAGTTGGCGCAAAAATAAAATGTGCCAGTAAAAAAAAATAGGCATATTTTCAATCACGCAATACATGATTTTCTTTCTTGTTTTCTTGCTTTCCATTTTATACAAGATATGCTGAGATCCATTCTCAACCCTTTTCACATCAGGATTTGCAGGCACTTCAGCAACCCAGCTATATTCTTATAATACATGTTCAGACCAACAAACATAAAAACAGCTGCTGCAAAAAGAAATTCTCATATCCCATATGCACATTCAAATATTACTCCCTGTTAGAGCAATCTTTTTAGTTTCAGTTATTTTTGGATACTGATATGTTTTCAGCATGATGTGTAACAGGTTTTCTCCACTTATCTCTCATTCATGTACTTAGAAGTTTATTTTTAATGTAGTATCACGATGCAACAATACAGCATACAGAAGCACAAGGCAATTGTCCACAAAGCTTCACAAATTGTAAAAAGAATTTTTTTTCTCTTTTTTTCATTTTTTCTTATCTAAAGAAAGACATTTCATTCGCTCTTGTTTTAAGTTTGCTCCCAAACTTGCCAAAATAAAGACAGATACGTACAAGATGATGATGGGATGATGATCTGCCTCCTCCTTTTCCTAGACACAATTGTCACATGAGCAAATTATTAAAAAAAAAAAAAAAAAAAAAGGAACTCACTTGTATTTTTGTTCATGATTCCCCATACATAATGAAATAGTAAAATATACCAATCAAGGGCTCGAATGCAATTGCTTTTATAAATATAATAGTCTCTCTCCAGTTACTTGATTTGTAATGGGTTGTGTATTAAGATATAAGGCAATTGTAACAGGATTCTCAGGATGACTGAAAGCCTAATATTATTTTGCTCATGAGTCATGATAAAGGCTTTTTAATAAGCTCAGAGTGGGGAGAGAGATAGAAAAAGAGTGCATATGTGCATAATAGGAGAAGGATATTTTTTTTCAGCATACAGACACTTAAATATTGATCAACAAAGACTGGTAATGAGTCCACCATAAAACATTTTCAAATCGTGAACTAGAGTAGAACTAAGCCTTATCTATTCGAGAATGATATGTAACATCCCTCCTGACCCGAGAGAAATAAAAAAAGGGCATGTCAATGCTTAATTCAACCTCAAATTCATTACCTTTATGCCACAAAGCTGTATGTTGGTATAATAACTCACTGCAAAGTAAAACACATTACAACAAATCCTAGTAGTAAGCCATTGACAACTACTGCACTGGGCTACAAGACATGGTGACCAAGGGAGACATGTTGCTCCCTTACGCTATGATTGTCAAACGGTGGAAAATCCTTCCATGAACCTAACACTTGAGACAGAATGGCAAAGACATAAGGCCCACCAGCTCTTTGCCCACATTGTTAAAGGCACTGAAACAGACAACGGATATACTCCTTAGTACCATCAGTTTAARAAGTGTTCAAAATAGAAGTCTTTGTATGAAAATGTTCCTTATTGCGTGATAACTTGATCTTCAGTTTCTTCAACTCAAGAATAGAACGGTCTTCCCTTTTCTGGTGTTTGTAATCTGTTCAGCCTGGCTACCTGAGACGGTGAAGGCGGTACATCTTGTCTGAAAGGACCTTTAGGTGGGGTATAATTAGGGTCCTGAATTTTCTTATATGAGTCATAGTTGCTAGGTCCTTCAGAAGAAGTTTTTTTTTTCAGCTGTTGTTCTTTCCGTCTCTGCTCTTGCCGGAGCAGTTCTTGTGTTTCTAGCATAACTCTGGCATTGAAGCCATGTCCTCCCATATAGCCATTCCTTGATCCCTGGTAGCTGGAATATCTGGGGTTTTCCTTCGCAGTCTGGAAGCCTTCACCAGGAGCATAGCTCTGCTCCCAGGAGTCTTGAGATACGGAACTGGCATTTTTTCTGCTTTGCCTGAAAATAGAAATGGAAGACGCACTTAAGACAAACCTTTCCATTACTCTTCTAATGCTACTTATAACAATCCCTGGAAAAGAAGGACACTCCTGCAGGGTGACCAGTATTCCCCCAATTATATCATTCTCAATAAGACATTCTTTTCTGTCCCAAGATGAGCTCTTCTGCTTGGAGACCATCTTCTGTAGAGCCCTCTGCTCAGGGGGAATATGTTGTGAATACCCAGCCAGTTCTGCAACAGCCATTGAGTTCTCAAGAAAAAGTGCAACAATTCAGCAGCAAATGAGGAGAAACCATACAAAATTCTGTGCTTTCTAAGCAACCAGATAACAACCAGCAATTGTAAAGTCACTTGTGAAAGATTTGGATCTAGACTTCCACTTGATTAAAAATGCAATGGGCAGATCTTTTAAACACTTGCTCGAAAGTTGCACAAGTTAGAAGATAAAGCTCATTATTGATAGCTAGTTTTATAGATGGGAAGTGCATTTTCCCAGTCCCAAAACTAAGGAGTTTTGTGTTAACTGAGCTGCTTCCAAGTTTACTATAACTTTTATATAAGAAAAAGCAGAGATAACTTTTTTTTTCTTTTTACTTTCTGGTTCCATGGCATAGATATATAAATCAAATACATATGGGAATTACAAATTCTTATCTCTTTTCACAACAACTCACTACATTATTTTAAAGCCACATTATGGTTTTGAAATATCTTTAATTCACTATCAAAGTGCTAGATGCTCTTATGAATTTAAAATAAGATTGGTGATGATAAAGTAAAATAATTTTGTGCCTCAGTGAACAAGATACAAGAGATACTCCTTTTGAGATTCAAATTAGTGTACAAGAATCAAGCAGTAAAACAAAATATATTGTGACATTAATCAATAAGAAAATCATTTAGTTGTGTATATATGTCTGTTTTTCATGTCAGAGCACAACATGACTCAATGTGGCCTCATCCAATGAATATGCAATAGAGAGACACGAAGCCCAGAGAATTRTTCTACCATTTATAAAAGTAACAAATCACTAAATGTTTTTTCAATTGTTCTTTCACATATATAACTTGAAAATGACCTTAACTACCCTTTTTCACAATATATTTTGAGATATCTCTGATAATCTGGATGAAAACTGCTGTTGAGAATGAAGGCAAATTATTGCAGCATAAATTATAACAAATTCTTATGCAATTGTTATAACTCTTGTTGCTATTCACATACCCTACTTTGCCAAAGAAACAATGTTTTTAAACCATGTTTTATCACTTCCTGGAACATGAGAAAACTGAATGAACCTCTGTAGGCTACGAAACTGCCAGGTTTCCGATCTAGAGCAAGATAAATTTTAAATATTACAAAATTAACTTGGAGTTGAACATTACTTTCAGAGTTTCACATGGGACAAGATGATGACTGGTTGGACTGATTTAATTTATTGTTTTATTGTTTTCTGGTACTTGTTCAAAATTAGTTGGCCCACTTTCACTGCCTTTCTGGGAAGATTCCTTAAGATTGATTAAAGAGTTTATTTGCCTTCTGTGCTAATGATTTAAATTTACAAGGAAAAAGAATGAGGCTCCTAGAGACTAACAAGATGAAAAGCAGCAAAGCTTAACAATGAAGACAAAGCACAAACTTGAATTGATACACAGCCACAGTTGCAACTTTAAACTTGGGACACAAATTCTGGGTAAGAAGGAGATTTTTATATAGATGATAACATTATAAACAGTCTGGAAAGCTGAACACCTTGATGCCCTGGTTTATGGTTGGGGAAATGCAGTATTCACAGCACTCAGATTTAGCACAAGGTCCCCAGAACTCTGTCTGCTCTCAGCACGGCACAGATACCACTGCTCAAAAGCATTGGTTAAACCATCATTGATTACTCATTAACTAGCTCACTGGTCACTTCACATTTTTGAAGTTCTCACTTGTTATTTTTTAAAAAATAGGCAGTTCTGTGGCCCACAGAATTATTGTCCAAATTTCCTCTTTGTTTTTTCCTTTAGGATTAACAATTTCTGCCACTGAAACTTTGCTCTGCAACCGAATGAAATACTAGAATTTGAAAGAACAGGAAAAGGTGGGTTTAGGAATCATAATTTTGAGATTAAAGTGACCAATTGCCTTCCAAGTTAAAAATCACACATTCACATAATTATTGACATTTTTTCTGCACAGTTAATGCATTACTGACATAAAATTTAAAGAACAAGTGAAATGTAAATGCTGGCAAGATTTAATAGAGATTTTCAGCGAAAGAATAATAGCATTTATACAGATAGTCACTTGAGAGGTAAGGTACAGATGAAAAGCAAAGAAAATCTAAAGATTTTCAAAATAACAAAACAACATTATTTTATAAACAGAAACACAGTAACTTTACTTTTTTTTCATCTATTGATTCAGAAAATAGTTATGGTGAAGTTTTAAAAAAAAAAAAAAAAAAAAAAAGAAAGAAAATCACAAGACACAATTCCTCACAAGCACAAAAGTTAATATAACGTCTGGAAAGAACAACTTAAATCAAGGGCAATTTGATATCTAGTTGTGGTGTAAAAGATTGTGCTTTCAATCGTTGCCATTAATATTTGAAAACAGACTATTAGTACAATACTTAACTATGACAGTTATCAAATTTATAATTCAAGGTAGGTAAATTTTTCACAATTGTTTAAGCTATATATTTAGTAAAAGACATGTTGCCCAAGTAGGTCATTTTAAATCCTATGAACTTTGAAAATACAGATTTCTTTAGAAAAATCAGTATGTTAATTTTCAGCATTCTACTGTTAATGACCCACTAACTCAGAAGAAATGTCTATGCTAGAAACCTCGAGGCCCCTGAGCTTTGAATAGAATTTCTTAAGTCCTTATTCTGTTTTTCTGAGGTCTTGCTTGTTTGTTTTTTTTCTTTTTTTTTCCTGGTAACTTATGCCTCCGTATCAGCACCACAAGGATAGAATTTCTACCTAATAAGGAACTAGGCAAGAGAAAAAAACAATAACTGACATGTCAAAGGGGGATAAGAAGGGACAACTCATGTCATGCTCAGGAGACTTCTGTAGCTGTAGAATCTGAAACTGGCCGGTGTCCCACARAGAAGAGCTTTGTTTTAATGTCTCAGCTCTGTTGTGTGCTGCGTGTCTTCAAATCCCACCAAAATCCACTCTGAACTAATTCTCCCCAAATAAACAGCTCCCACATGCTCTCACTTACGGAATTTTATGCCTCTTCCACACTGAACACATTCCACCTTATATCAATGCTACACAAAAGTGTCTGCACTAAGCACAACAGTTTCCTCCTACAAATGAAATTAGCTGCGGGCTCCCATACGCTGAACAGCCTCAGAGAGTTCCCATACCTGGGTAATGAGCTGTACTGCCGCTGAGCTTGCTGGAAACTCTCTCTTTCTTCTTGCCGCTGCCGCTGCATTTGAACCTCTACTGACACCGAGTGTCTGCCACTCTGGGAGTATGTCTTGGAGCTCGGCTAGAATATGAAAAAAAAAAAGTCTTAAAACACAAAATTATCCACACAAAAAAGGCTAGCATTTAGGCATATTTCTATCACCATGCAGTTCTAGTACCCCTTTCATAATAATTACATTAAATTGTGATCCAGAATACTCCGTCCTCCATCGCTGCTTCTGCTTCTTACCTACCCTTTCTGAAATGTATCAGGAAAATATTCATCCAGAATAGGTTGTGYTTTTGTAGTAATACTGAAAATTACATGAAGTCAGGGAAACAGATATCCAACCAGGGTAAATTAATGTGGCTAAGTTAAAGAGAGGATTTACACCCCCTGCACTGAGAATCTGACCCAGAGTGACTATTTACAGAGTAATACCACCTTTCCCTCTGCATTTTGATAGTAYGAATTAACTATAAACACAAATTAATATTTATATACATATATATDGATATATATATGAACTTCTGTTCAAAATTTGTGGGGAATCATGTTTTTTAAATCTCACCAGCACTCATGTGCTGCTCTCCCTTATTGGACCCATCCTATTTTTCTGTTGGTCCAAACATGCACCGCATCATTTTGTGAGAGATATGGTAACATCTTTTGGTTTGATAGAATAACTAAGACAAATCTAGCTATTCTCTTGCAGGTAATGGGGAATTCTGTACCTCAGACAAGGATTTTAGGTAACATTTTAACTGGGCAGCAATTGGAAGTGTTGGGCATCAYACTAAGAACCCATGAAAGAGAAACAACTCTGCGGGAATATGGAGCACTGCCAGTCAAGATCTGGCAGAACAGCTGGTTCAGACTTTAGATTTGGAAAAGATTTACCTTTAATCGTGTAAAATGAAAGGTGAAGTCTTTATAATCAGATTTTATGATTTCAAGCTGCTAAATACAATGACAATAAAGGAAAGAATTTTCTGGGAATTTCAGATATTTAAAATAAAGTTTCACCTAGCAAAGTAAAATGAGTTAACTCCYCTCTCAACATATCAGTTCTAATAAAAAAACTTCTTCCCAATCACTGAGAGGTTAGAGAGCTTAAAGGCTCCGCTGGGGCCGGCAGTGAAACAGCTTGTACCAGACATGCTTTTGTGAAAGCACTTCTTGCCTTTTGCATCTGCCTTTTCCTCGCAGGGAGGACCTCTCCTGTTTTTCGCTATTACAATTTCTGCAGCAGACAGATCTCATAAAGGCTGACAAACATCTGAAAGATAAAAGGCTTTTCGAAAGCTTCTCGCACCTGAAGGCATGTATTAAAAACCAGAAAGTTGTCATCCATGACACAAACTTCTTATTTGTCTCCCCACGTAGCCGGGTACTTGCAAGTAGCCCAAAATACAACACGCACAAAACAGGTGTACGGCTCCTCGAAACCTCATCTCCAGTAACAACATGCTTCAGAAGGAACATCAGTCAGGACTCAGAAGTTAACAGCTAAAATKTAGTGAGCAACCGCCCTGCTTGTTAGTGGCAGATTACTGGGCAAAAGTGAACGTGAAAGCAAAAGCTTTAAGTAACTCGGGGAGAAAATTTAAGAGAATCCTTGATGCAGCAACATTGATGTCTGCTGCAGAACAGATGTGCTCTGTAACAGTGCAAAAAAACAGTCCTTCTAATGGGAGATGCTTATATGAGGCATGGTACAGTGAAGCAGCATGTCCGGAAAAGAGACTCGTGTCAGCCTGGTGGGAAATTCCTTGAGACGTGTATATCCACACCAAGGACCCCGCTGAGATCTCCTACTTTATTAAATAAGGGCTACGCATACAGAGCAGCAATTTCAGTTATTGCATAGGTCAACATTTCTAACTTTCCTGACTTTATTGAGAGTCTTCTGGCATTTGGCACTTTATTGAAGGCCTCAGCTTATGGAAGTGAGTGATCACCTGAAAATCACAAGATTTATTTGTGAATTCTCTCCAGTGTGGTTATAAACACCTTACAGAGAACCACAGAGAATCCCAGAGGTTCCCATCTCAATCTCTTCATAAGGAATAAAAATAGCTAGGCTAAGATTTTAAAGCCAATCTCATCATTTCATGGGTTCCACTGTAACAATGTTGGAAAGTCTGCATATAGTTGGAAGCTGCAGTTCTGTCACATATAGACATGATGTCGAAGTTGCTTCTCTTTATTTGAAAGCTCACCTACCATTTGTTTTAGTTCACTGTAAATAGATTAATGGATTCTACAATACAGGGAATGGTTAAATTATCAAACGCTTGGAGCCAGAATGTTTGATACAACACCTAGAAGCTGCTGCTAAATTTAGGCTTATGCARGACACTAAAATGTAAAAACTGAGGAACGATGAACATTTGTACTTGTACAGACAGCTGGAATAGGATGACACAAGCTTTGAAAGCACTACTGGACTAGGAAGGGAGTGAAATAAAAACTTTGCTTAAATGAGAATTTTGTTTGATGCAAACATTAATCAGTGGTTAAATACCAGAGGTTAAACACTGGCATGCCTGCACCACACCCTGTGTAGCCCATGCCTGAAACTGTTAATTCTTAGCAGTCAGGAATGGATTCTTTGTAGTTCACAAGCATTTTCTTCTAATAGAAAACATTTCTTATTTGTGAGGCCTACGGCAAGCATCTAAAATCAATCATCTCATTTTCTGAGCTTACAAGTACCTGTATGTCCTGTTAAATTAAGTAGATTTGCAATGCTTCTTAACTAATCTGAAAAGAAAGATGCTTATATAGACTCCTGCCTATCCCCAGTTCACATCTACAACATGCTGTTCAAATAACAGAATCTGCTGTCTGAGTTCAGGTATCCAAAAATATGACAGTGAGACATCAAAAACCCCTCCTTGCCAAATCAAATCAAATACCTCATAACATGGCCTATATACACACAGACAGGTACATTCAACAGTCTCTGTAATGAAAAGGCACTACTTCAACCTCTCCTCATTAAAAGCCTTGGTGATACCATAATGAATGTCCTTGATATATGGCTATGATGATATAAAGACTTAACACATTTCAGTTTGTATCCTGGGCTCGTTCAGAAAAAAATGCAAGTTTCCACACCAAGGGCTGTGATTTATCTTTTCAATATGCTTTCAATTAAACGAGTCTAAAACACAAATATTTATATCCTAACATGCAAAMGCTAATTTGTATGTTTTATTTCAATTCTCGAAACATCATTTTATGCCTATGTAAAATATATACACAAGCACACATCTATATACAGCTGTATCACATTTATGTCAGCACAAAATGGAGAGRATTAAAAAAAATACACAGAGGAAAAAAGTTAAACTATTTTCTCGTCCTTCAACAACAACAACAAAATGATGTATGAGTAATACAACACATGATAATTTTAATGTTGATATGAACTGGGTAACACAAGGCTAAGTACAATTACAACAACCTTTTGAAGCCACCCAACAAACCTGGCAACAGCTCTGTTTTAACAGTACAAATTGATAAGAACTGTGGCCTTGTTTGCAATGAGATGTATGACAAGCGCTGACCTTTTAAATCAGGATGTGGTCAAGGCCACAGTAACAACCAAGGCTGCATTATACAAGTAAATGCATGTCCATGTCTTCCACAATACATTTAAGTGGCAATAACAGTTATTGCATTCAGCATTGTTAAACAGTACTCTGCTTGCAAAAGTATGTTTTCAGATATATGAAATTAGACAGCTCTCTCCTCAAYGAGACATTACTTTAAAAGCTTGACTGCAAAGTTACAAGTGTCTACAGATTTCTCTCTTTTATCCAAACAGCATTATTTTCATTTTTCACAGAATATACTCCCGGGTCATGGTGCATTGACCACCACCACTAGCAACAGGCAGCAGATTTTAATGGATCCTAACATGAAGAAAACATTAAACRAGCACTAAGACTCCTTTGCATGAGTCTTCCTACCATTGTCAACCCACAGAGTTCAACCTATGGGTCAGGATGGCAAAAGAACAAAAGGATGAAGTTCCCTCCTCCCTCTTCAAGCAAAACAGAGGCTACTCAGGGATTTGCTTTCCCTGCCAGCTGGGACATGTGGCATGGGGTGCTGGATCCCTCTCACTGAAGCACAAAATYCAGCCCTGCAGAGATCCAGGCTGCTGTGCAACCACAGCAGGGAACATGGGAGCCACCTGGGCCACTGCATCTGGAGATCCCTGGAGACAGTCTAGAAAACCACCTATCTCACACACCCATCTCACAGCCCGCTCTCGTAGGGAGAAATAGAGAGAAATGCTTATTCAGACTCAAAGAATTTGTTAGAGCTGATAAAGAAACACTGAACAAGGACATGAAGAGTCCTTTTCTATTTTCCTACATATTAGAAGTCCAGTATGTAAYATTAAAACACATCTGCTATTTTATTCCTAGATTACACTAGATTCCTAGATTAAACACATTCAACTAAGAACTAAGAAGTTTCAAGTGCAATTGGGAATTTGGGCTTGAAACTTCCAAACAAAAAAAAGTCTGTTGTTCTTATGGTTTATAACTAATTAGAAATAGGTAAGATTACATGACCTTGCCCGCTTTATGTATAAACACATTTAGACAATCCAGTAAATGTATACATCAAAATGCAGAATGATAAAAAACATTCAGCGGTTCTGGGTCCTTGAAAACTATTTTTATTTTACCTTTTTGTTTATGTTGCTGTGGGCAATAGAACATATTCCAATGTCTTTTTAAAAATAATTGCTAACAGGTGTATATTAATTCAAACACTGCATAATAAGAAAATCTCATTCCTTTCTTTATCTTGCTATGGTGTATGTGTAGGAAGTGGGAAAGCATGCTATAAAGCAGCCTGTGCTATTTACCTGTACTGCACATGCCTGTGAGCTGTAAATATAGTTGTTTATAAAATGAAATTATTGCACTTCTTTTTTATACTTTTCATCTTTATTTTCGTGTCCCACATAAATTAATAGATTGAAATTGGTGGAGAAAAAGAATTTCAAAATAAAAAAGGTTAAAGCAAGGGTCTAAATCTTGGCAAGAAATGCATTACATTTCATGAAAACCTTCCCAGGTTGGATACTGAACAGATTTTCCCTACACTAATGAAGAAAAACTATCTGTGGAGAGGATGTCTGCATAACTTTGGTTTGAAAGAGGTCGGGCAGGAGAAGCAAAAATTTAGCTCCTATATCCACTCTTACGCTCAATTAGATATTATTTAATATCTTGAATTAAAAATCCTGAAAGAGACTCTTGATATGGGTTCATAGTAGAAAGAATTAGTATTCCATTTTTCTCTCTCATTAATGGCTTGAATATTTCTACATAATTTACAGCCTGACACATACTTTGCAAATTTTGTTTCAAATATAGTCTCTTATTCATTTTCCCAAGTGGAAATAATGTGTAACAGTTGAAGATACAGTGATAAAAATCAGGCTTTTCTGTTTTGCTAAAGGATTTTTAGATTATTTAGAATTCATTATGGTTTTGAATGTGGCTAATGTTATGGTTAACACTTGATTACAGAGGTAAGAAATGAGTACCATAAATACAAACAAAAAAAATTTTTTTTTTTAACTTTTACCTTAGAGACAAGAAAAAAAAATCTCTATAATAACAAGCAGCAAGAAAGCAAGCATAAGGCTTAAACTAGCACTTATCTATCAAGCCATGGTTAAGTAAGTACCTTATTAGGACTTCTGGAGTCTTTCCTCTAAGAAAATCATGCAATTATTTACCTTTCATAACCTTCTGCATGTAATTAAAGCTATAATCAGATGAGTCACATAGTAAATTTAGTTTTGACCCAGTCAGCTGTTATCTTAAGAGAAAATCTTTTCATTTGACTCCTAAATATGTACAGTGGAGTTTGCTCAGCTGCTCTCCTGATACCAATTTTCTCCTATCATCCACACAGATTCAGCATGACTGCAAAAGAATGTATTTGTGAAGGGAATTTGTCACTTTGCATTTTTAGCATCGAGTTTTGTATTAAAAATGAAGGAATGAAACATTGGCTTTTGTCCCTCCTGAGTCTTTGTGTTTTCTGATAGCCAGTGTGGTTCTAGAAGCAGGGCTGGCAAGTAGCTGTAGCATTTTCAACTGATTTAATATGCCATTTCTTTAATTGGATTGCTCGCTCCCTTGACATTTATGGCTATAATACTGTGTTTTTGTTATTGAAGGTGGGGATCTGCTAATTAAGATGTGACTAGGCAAAAATACAAGATACGGAACAAATTGCAATCCAAATCCCCTAAGCCCAGGACTGGTGCAAACAGTGATAAACCTCAGCAGACCCAACACTTACACATAAAAGAACAAAAAAATAAACAGAGACAAAACTTTGGTATTGAACAGAAGTACAAATGCCAAAAGGATCTTGCATTTGTAGAAAAAAAAAAATCAAAAAAGCACCAAGACCCTCAAAGATTAGCAGATATAGCATGATTCCATCTAGTTCTATATGCTGGGATATACATTTTTCAGGGTCTGACTGGAATTAATGCCACCAGGCTAAAAATGGATTAGTCAAACTTCATGTCAGTTTTCAATTTATTCCTGTGTAATATCGGGCATACTGTATTGCCACTGTAAACCTTCCTTTACACCCTTTTTTGACAAACTATTTTTCCTAAAACAGGGCATACAGCAAAAAAGGAAAATAGAAGCCTGAGGAACTTACTTTAAAAATCAACAAACACAACCACCATTTCCATAAAGCTTTGGCTCAGTTGCAACACTACTGTATTTTAGAGAGGTCTAGATGATGAGACAGCTTGTTACTTAGGCCTTAGCAGCGTGTCATTCAAATGGCCTTGAGCAGCAACGTTGCGCTGTTTAACAGCCGGTGCCATCTCATCCCAACATTATTATGTTTTTTGTGCCTGTTAAGCTGCCTGATGCTGTCTGAACAGTCCCAGGCTGTCCAGTATTTTGATTATTGGCAGGCAAATACAGCTGGTCAGAAACGCCAGCTCTGTCCCACTGCTCGGCCGTGGAGAAATAATCTTCACTTGATGGAATCAGCCCAGCGCTGGCGGGGCTGGTCGCTGGACCCGGTGCCAAGGGTACCGTTCAGGGCAGTGGGATGCAGAGCACTGTGATACGGATATCTGCCTCTGTGTCCTCTCTGGACAGACCAGTATCTGCCTCTGTGTCCTCTCTGGAGGACACAGAGCATATTGGACATGGGAAACTGGACTTCTGTGTCATAGGCCATCCAGGATGGACTCCACCTGGTGACATGCACAGCCGCATTTTGATAACATATTAGTGTGTTCCAGAGCTGTTGAGCTCTCTGAATATCCCTAAAGCCGCCAGATTTCCATCAGTAACCATTACCCATGCCGCAAGCTTTATATTCATTTGCGCTTTCTTAAGGTAACCAAGAGGCCCACATCACATCAGCACTTTGTTCCCTATCCCCAGCCCTCCCATCAGCCTGCTAACGAGAAATGCAAACTACTTATCACCTCGTAGCACACACTTCCCCGCGGATGAAAGATTGGTTTTGTCTTTCTGTCCAGGCCAGGTCAGAGGTGGCAGCTGCCGGGCGGCTCAGAGGCAAGGCTGGATGTAAAACCTGCTGTTTCTGGGGGCTGCACAAGCCGTCTCCCCCAGGTGAAAACATATTTTTCAACAGCGGCCCAAGTACAGGTGCACTTTTCACTGCTGTGGTTTATAACCAACAGMTTACAGATGGAGAAGACTGAAAGGAGGTTGATGAATGTATCCCAGTATTTTCCTGCGTATGTGTTATAAACCACTTTCGCATTTTTTTGTGTCACTGGTATTTATTAATACATCTGGATCTGTTTTGAGAGGGTGTCTTAACAAAGTCCATCATCTTAGACTAATATGTTAAAGTAATACACAATGCTTAAGAGAGAGGGTTATGGTTCCTTAACACTGAAATGACTGTGAACTGTTGAAAAGGATGAGATCATTGTTTTATCCTTTCCAAGCATCGTGATCTTGCACGGCCAAAGTGGATGACGGAAAAAACAATAATTCAAAAAAACTCTGGGCCAATTTTTTTTTTTTTTGAAGTACGTGTCTAAAATACAACATTTGGTCACCTAGGTATTTAACAACAGAGTAGCTCCTACAAAGGCAACAAAAAGCTTCAGAATTAATATTAATACATTAAGGTGAATTAGTCACTTTGAATTCATTTGCGTGGTCTGCAGAAGGGGAGTAAACAGAGAGATCCCATTTGTTTGAATAAGTGAAAAAGGAAAGGTCAATGTTCTGACCCACAATTTAGGAAATTATTCCATTCCTAAGGTAATCAGCCTGTCATCCAAATAATTCCCTATTTGCTCATTACAAGAAACTATAATAAAAGCCAAGTTGCCTGTCTAAAGTTGCTATGGCATTTAGATATACAACAATTTGGCCCGTGACCTTCAGTAGTTAAGTTCCCAAGTCTTCAAGAGTGCAAGTTTTTCTCATAGACAGTTTTCCCAAGAACACCACTCAAATCTCTCATTTGGAGACTAAACAGCAGTTGATGCATAATGGAAAGTACCTCCCACACCCAACCCCCTCTCTTCCGAAAGCTCTTGCACTATAACTGAGATGAGCTATCACATTATCTTCACCACATCAAATCAAAAACATCTGGTAATAAAAAAATGTTTATTTTATTTAGCCAATTTCAAAGCAGTGTAAAGATTTCTAACATGGGAAAAGAGAAGACTATGTCCTGATACAGCTAAGCCGTATGAGGTCAGTTAGGGATACATTTACCCTTATTCCTTTCCATGCTGCATGTTAAAAATACCACAGCTTCAAACTGGTGAGTTTAGGAATGACAAGAACACAAAGATTTAAYACAAGTCAAAAATCTTTGATATCTACCAGTATAGGCAGACAAATACAATATTCTCCTTCTGGCGTTAAAGAGTGCAAGCATTCTGAAGTTGCAAAAAAAGGTACTGATGTCATGATACAACTTCTGGGTTTTGGAGTATGAGAGAATCTGTTCACTATCTTTACAGTGGAATTAAAAAAATACAGTAAGATATTTGCCACATATTTAAAGGCYCCTAATTTAGGATAAATTTAGGATACATAATTGATTAAAAGGAAACACTGATTCATTCAATTATGTTAAACAAGATAAGCACATGGATTTACATAATTGTATCACATCGCTGGATCAGATTGAACAGGATTTAAATGATCAATTAGGACATATTCTTGAGACAGAAACTGTCAGCTAATATCAGTGGCAAAAGGAGCATTATTGTGAAATATGCTATTATGCATTGCTCTTCTTTTTTACTGTGAAAAYACACAATTCTTGCTCTTAAGGGACAGTACTGCTTGCAGTGAAACTGTCTCACAGAAAATACCATTTGCGAGGTTACATGATCTCTCTAAATTATTTATCATTAGTATGTGCTTCATCTTGATTTTCCTAGAAAATTTCAGTATAATTGATATTGCCTTTGAGGCAAAAAAAAAAAAAAAAAAAAAAAA